TGCCGCAACTATATTTTCCTCGTTTGAACATATGTAAGTTATTTGGAACAGAAAAAGGTATTTCTTACATTTCACATCTACAATGAGAAATAATTAGCGAATAGCACACTACTTTAAATATATTTAAATTTGTATACAAATATGTATGTATGTACATATGTATACATACATATGTATAGGCATTAGCAATTCATGAAAGCGCTAAAGTCAGAAAAAATCGAAGTTTTTTTTCGTTCATTTAGTACAGTAAACAGGTTACGCTATGGYTAGCAAAAGATGGGTGTGTCAACTGAAATTTTCTTTTACAGTCTCCAAATCAGAAAATTCCTTACATAAATTACAATCGGTGGACCTAAATCCGATATAACCTGTATATGTATGTGCTGCAATAGTGTCAGCAATAGCATTGGTGCTTTCATCCAAGAAAATCATAAAAATGCAACTGTGCTTGAGCGTTGTTGTGCTTGGTTTGGATTTTGTGTACACAGATACTAACAGCTGACGTTTTGTTTATAGCGAAATAAAGAGTAGAATTGACATAAAGAATCGTCGAACAAATTATACATTTAGAAAAAGTTATTTTAATAATTATTATAATAAATAAATTTACATATATTATATGTATATTTATATGTATGTATAAAAATCGCTGATATAGATATGTAGGTGAGAAATATGCCTCCTATTTTTTCGTCCTGCGAATTATTCGTCAGACGGCAAACTGTCAAATACGTAACACACCGATCGCTTCATATRTAATTTTAAGTATACATAATTTGATAGTATGACGTAAGTACATACAATTTATATGTATATGTATGGGTGTATATATACAAATATTTTTCAAAAAAGGTAATTGTAAATAAGGCATTAAAAGAAAAAAATCTTTATAGCTAGCTTTTTGGCATCTTATCATCCTCTTCCACTACCACAAAAACGTCTGAGCAAATAGTTGAGTACTGGATACCCGGTGGGTTTCTTATCAACTCAGGAAGCAATTTAAAAGCAGTTAAGGCAGCGCAAGAATGAGTACGTAGCGGAAAACTGACAGCTGAGTTGAATATGTGCATACTCTAGGAGAAGAATTCGGTATACCACCTATTGCATGCGGTAAATACAACAAAAAGAAAGGGATTTAATTAATCGAGGCAGTCTTGTCTGTATACAAAATTAATATTGTGTGGCGAAATAATAAAGAACAGCTGATTTATGTTTACTTRTGTAACGCATAATAAGGTAACGTAACTCAAATCCATTGATCCGAACCAATCCTGTGCCAGCTTACTGATGTGTTCTGGTCATTGTTCTACTGAGTATCGACTTTAGCGGCATGTTATCTTCAGCAACTGGTAGCATAACACTTTGGGGTCATTTGGGTGCTGATCCATGATGTCCTCAATTCGATGAATCGGACCAAGCCTCTGTACAAGAAACATCACCACACCTATAATGGTCCACTAAATATGTTTCCTTGGTATATCGTGGGCCATACTTTATATTAGCGGGAAACCCTTTCCGGCCATGACCCTGATTTATTGAGATATTGATCTGAAATTTTAATCACGTCCTTTTCTTACCAAGAAGATGCTCATATGTCGAAATAGATTATATCGGGCCACTATAAGATATAGCTGTTATACAAACTGTTCAAAATTAAGTGATTTTATGAAAAACTCTTTTATTTCAAATTGGGCATATAACTGTCACACCAACTGTTTAGCGAAATCAAGCTCTTCTATGAAACCTTTTTTAGTTTACAAGTTATCTTCACAAAATTTGTGGTAAGAGGTTCTCTAGAACAACGCTACAATGTACGAACAAATCACATTCACATCAGATCACTATATGATAAAAAACAATTATTTTTTCGCTTGGTACTCTGAAAAATTAGCCCCTAGATATCACCTTAAAAAAGAGGTTTTTTTTGCCAACCCTAATGTCTATGTATACAAAGATATGTCTATCGACCAGATTGTTTACAGCAGCTGCTTAAATCGATGCGCTTCAGTAATGCGTTGCGATTCTTACAATGAATAAAAATATCGAACAAAGAATTTGTCTCAAATTTTGTATTTATAACCAAACTTCGTGTACGGAATCGTTGCAGATGTTGGAAAAGTGGTGATTCGGTTTTATCAAAAACACATGCATACGAACAAGAGCAGATCCAGAGTGGAATTTTGGGGGGGAACTTTATAATTTTGTATTTGCGACTCAAAGTCCCCTTCTTCCCGGAGTATCACTTATGATGGAAATAATATGTAACCCGTTGATAAGCCCCTACATAAGAGTGGTACAAAGTCTTAAAAGACGGTCGAGAGATCATTGATATCGTTCTGGATGATCTGGGGCATTTTCAACTGATGAATATATATAAAAAAAAGTGGTGAATTAGAGAGACGGCAAGGGAGTCCGTTCAAATGTTTTTGTGGATATTTTGGGTATGAAACGCGTTCTTGGTCGACTCGTCCCGATTAATCTGAATTTCTTTCAAAACGTATAGTAAAGTAAAGGCAAAAACGCATTTTGTACCACCGATCAACCACCGTATTCACCAGATTTGAGTCTGTGTGATTTTTTCTTGTTTCTCAAACTGAAATTGCCGTTCCGTGGAAACCCTTGTCAGTTGATCAAAAAGATAGAACAAAATTCGCTGAAGCTCCAAAAATTACTGATGAAAAGGGCTCCGAGGACTGGAAAAGTCGTTCTCATAAGTGTATTACATCTGGTGGGGACTTGAAGGAGACAAAATTTTATGAATATTTAATCATTATGTGTTTTATGTACAATTTCCGGGTACTTTTTTATCACAATTTATAAGAAATGCAACTGTAAAAGGTATTATAACTTTAGTACAACCGAAGTTAAAGTTTTCCTTTTTGATTTTTTTTAATACATAAATTAGGGAATATAAAATTAAGCAAATCCCTAATCATTTTCTAATACATTATTTGTAAAAGTAGACTGGTACGCGTGCAACATTACCACTCTCAATAAAATTCCAACTTAATTTAGAAGTTACAGGCCTGTTGCAAAACAAAAAAATTAAAATATATTTACAATATGTTTCTAAGTTTTCTTACTTTACTTAATTTAAGGTTACTTCAGTAGGCGATCGACGAGCTCATGTTTGCACAGTTCGTAAGAATTAATATTTACACATTCATATATGTATGTATGTACACATACAAAAATAAATTTCAAACGCACATGCAAACATAAATCGATTGCCTTTAAATAGGTATGCAGCGTGGATCAGTAACTTCCGACAACGAATAGTAGTTACTCCCACCAATAAAGTGTATCACCAGCAAAGGCCGAACAAAAAATAGATGAACAAACGGTGAAAACAAGAACTTATACAACACACCACAAGCATTCACAACACAACACACACATACACATGTGTTAACATGCATGCGCATGTATGGACGTAGATATGTACGATTGCACGTAGATACGAAAGCGATTGCTCGTACTTTGCGAAGAAATCTTCAAGTGCAAAAAAAAACCAACCAATATATTCATATGACTTAACATTTGACCAGCACTAGTAAGATAATATTTCACATTATTGCTTACCCATACAAATTGTTTTCAATGTAATTGACGGTAATCTCACACGTAGTCGTAATGGTAAGTAATTCTTGAAAGCACAATACACTAAAGTTGTTTATTACGCATTTAGTCTGTCATCTCGCGTGGGTACACTACAAATGAGATAGGACTTTTGTTCTGCGAGGTGAAAACGAAATGTTGGAAAATGAAACGGAATGGCGACGTTACGTGTCAAGGCAATTGACTGCATTGTTGTGATTCATTGTTTTTGAATTTATTTAAAAAGTCGAAAACCAAAAACGTTGCTTGAATAGTGAATTTTAATTAATATATGATTTTATTATCTAAACACAATTAACTAACATATAAAAAAATKAAAGGTGTAGAAATTCTGTAGTAGCATTTTATTTTTTATTTAGTTTATTATTTACTATTTTTGGTAGTTTTTACGAAATTTCGTTAAAATACTGTACCAAAAAACTTTCGCGTCCGGCGAAATAATCGACTTTTATCGATAACCAAAATAGTGGGATTTTTTTTGTGTGTAATGAGGTGGAAAATGGAACATGGAAACGAAACATGTATACATTCGAAAATCAAAATGGTGTCGTCGGTTTCAATTTGGCGCCAAAGGTAAAAAACGTGTTTAACAATTGAAAAACTAGTATTTTTTATTGCTGCGTTCATATAAAAAAATATTTATTAAAACAAAATACAAACAAAAACATTTTATTTAAATAATTTAATGTTATTAAAAATATATATAATTTAAAAAAATATTTATTAACAAAAAAATATTAAAAACAATATTCAAGAAAAACTATTTATTTAAAAATATATACATACATACATATTTAACATATTTGCCATCTGTAAACGGGCAATTGTTAATTAAACTAACCTTTATGATTAGATAAGCTCTTTATGACGTAATAGCTAATCAGGTTAGGTTTAGCAGAGTTCAGCAYTCCGGATTTTGATGCTACCAAAAAAAAAAGGTCTTCAAGACTGCCAAAATTCTTTCCGTAAATAAAATTTAAGTAAATATTTTTTGCGTTAACTACAAAATATAAAAATTGAATACAATTTAAAAAATACATTAAAATGTGCACAAATGCCAATAATTCACATCTAACAAAAATACTTCTTGCAACAATTATAAATTTAAAGCTGTTAGCTGGGAAGTTGCGACAAAAAATCGTTTAACATTGATGAAACGTAGTAATAAAAATGTACATATATCTATCATTTTCCTGGATCAAAAATGCATTAAATTAAATTTGAAGCAGACTTTTTATAAAGAATGCTCAATTAACTTTAGCTCATGTTTTACAACCCTATTTTAAAATGCAATATTGTCATTGAAAAAATTCTCTTTTTGTTTTTTGCACCAAACAGACATAAAAGAAATAAATAACAGTATAGTTTTTTTCAATTTATCCAAATCTTTTTATTTATTAGTAATTACACAATTTAATGGATTTATTTACAATGCCACAGTAACAATTTGACGTATCAAACCCTCCGTTTCGGAGTTAACGTYATCAATGTAAATACATACCTTTTTGTAGAGTTGATTGAATGGAGAAAACTGTTGATAAAGAAAACACAATCATTAGTTAAATAAAAAAATATACTTCATTGAAAAAAAATATAAATATATAAGCTATTTATCAGTAGGACCTATTTTTGAGGATGTTTTGTTGCGGTTATTGTGAATCATGTYACAAAAATCAGCTTTCCTTGTTTCATCAATAAAATATATGCAATTCCAGAAGCTAAATTATGCACTAACAAAATTTTGCTTACCTAGGAACAATAAACAAAGCAAGCGGCGGCCATTTTGTGTGTCGTATGCAGTCGGCACGATGTTTTGCTTTCGGTGTCCACGTCAATAATTCGGCATATATGTACATATTTCAGATACAAAGGGAGTTAGTTAACAATTGTACGACAGTCGGGTTAACATAACCGGTATGAAGGCGAATTTTGYACCGGTGAATAACCTTCAACTGGGTAGCACTCCAGGCATGTTTCTAGCCACAACAATTTAAGCATTCTGTGAAAAAGACATAAGACTTCATTAAAATCTTTTAATTCATTTTTACTGCTTTTCAATATTTAATAATTTATCAAACAATCAGTAGGACCTATTTTTGAGGATGTTTTGTTGCGGTTATTGTGAATCATATCACAAAAATCAGCTTTCCTTGTTTCATCAAAAACAGTTGATAAAGTTATATAAATATATCGTTAGTTAATCAAAAATTACCTGAAAATTTAACCGCCACAGCCTATATATAATCCATGTTAACAAGTACTTTAATTTCTGGATTTTATTTTGTGAAAAAAATTATTGGAGACAACCAACTACATCGCGAAAGTGGAGAGTTTTGTTTCCTGCCAAAGACAATAGATTTCATGTTAACTTCACTGCAAACTTTTTTTGTAAACATATATACATTTTTTTTAATCAGTAGGACCTATTTTGAAGTAAGTTTTGTTGCGGTTAATGTGAATCATGCCACATAAATCAGAATCCTTTTCTCATCATATAACAATTTTAGAACTATACAATTATGAGTATTGAAATTCGAAATAAATTAGTAAATACTACATGAAACATTATCAGCAAACTTTAATGATACATTTTTAAAGTAAAAATTATAACCATAATAAAATAATATAAAAAAATTACAGATAATTACTACCCCACAAATTTTCAATTTTTTTTTCCATTGCGAGTTTCTTGAAACGTGACAATTTCGCTTTTTAGTACTCATTTAACAATTTTAAATACTTAAACACACCAGAATCTTTTCTTCTTCTCACATGTGTTCAACATCAGGAATCAAAATTTATTAAAAATTCCATACAGTTGAACGCTTACCTGAATATGTTTATCTGTTTCATCCTCTGATTTCTAACATAACCTCTGACAAGCATAAGAAAAATTGCTAAAAAAAAAATTAACAAAAATTCATTGTGGATTTGGTTCTGAATGAATAGAAATTGGACTTCAGTAAGACCAATCAATTCGCATTCAACATGACATTTTTTTTCAGTTAGGGGCGAAAGTAATTGTTCATCATATAAAATGTTTTTAAATCTTAACAGTAAAGTAACAAATCAAACTTACAATTTTCATAGCGATTTGCCACGTATAATGGTAATAGGTGTTAAGCGCTCGCAACCGCCAACGAAACTGAAAATAGAAAATAAATACCTTTTTTATAAACTTTTTTGTAAAAAGAATAATTAMATTTTTTTATATATAACCGTAATCAGTAAGACCAATCAATTCGCATTCAACATGAATTTTTTTCAGTTAGGGGCGAAAGTAATTGTTCATCATGCAATAAAACTAATATAAATTATATTTAATACTTTTATACTTACGTTTATRTTCAAAAGTGACGTGATAATACGAATATTTAAGGCTGCACAAATGTTTTCCACTTCCCATATAATATAACTGAAATTGAAAACAAATAAGTTAGTATACTGAGTATATACAGTGATTTCAATAGGAATTGTTTACACATTTTTCAGTAAGACCAATCAATTCGCATTCAACATGAAATTTTTTTCAGTTAGGGGCGAAAGTAATTGTTCATCATACAAAATTTTTTTAAATCTTAACAGTAAAATAACAAATCAAACTTACAATTTTCATAGCGATTTGCCATGCCACGTAATAGGAGTTAAGCGCTCGCAACCGCCAACGAAACTGAAAATAGAAAATAAATACCTTTTTTATAAACTTTTTTGTAAAAAGAATAATTAAATTTTTTTATATATAACCTTAATCAGTAAGACCAATCAATTCGCATTCAACATGAATTTTATTCAGTTAGGGGCGAAAGTAATTGTTCATCATTCAATAGAGGAATGAATTTAATGACATACAAGCAGGGTTRCGAATTTTTTAATTAAAATTTTTAAGTTTTCCAAACATTTTGGTTGAAAATTATATACAATTCTTTTAATTATCATTTAGAGYTTAATGCTTGGGATTAAAAAATTTACATTTAATTTTGCTTTTTTTTATTTTTAATTAGAAATTATGCCTTAAAATTGTTTGTTACTTTTCAGTACGGTATTTAGGTTTTTTTTTTACAAATCGGGTATTTAGGTATGATTTTTCAGTTATTTTTTAATTCATTGTTCGTGATGATTTTTTTTAATTTTCAAACCAATATTTATGACAATTCTTTGTTTTTAATTTGCAATCTAATAATTTTTTTCATTCCAGTATACGTGATTTATATATACATATATATATTTTTTTTCAATCCAGTATTTGCTATTTTTTATTCTCAATTCAGTATTTTGATTAAAAATTGATTTTTAATTTTCAATACGGTAGTCGAAGTTAGAAATTTGGAAATTATTTTTTAAATGTTAATTCAATAATTTCTTAATGTATTATATGCGACCCTGCTTACAGCATAACGTTAGTTCAACTTACATTTCACAAAATGGCTGCAACTAACGGAACGACTGCAATTAACGAAAAGGTAATCTGAAATAAAACGAAAAAATTAGCAAATCGCTTATTTTTATGCGATAAAATTGTATAAAGCGTCTGCTCAGTAAGACCAATCAATCGCATTCAACAGTTAGATATTTTCAGTTAGGGGCGAAAGTAATTGATCATAACATCAATTATATTTCAATTTTTTTTTATTGGTTTAACATAATTACCTGCATATATAGAACGGCAAGCATATTTTGTTTACGTTGAAATTTCAAGCTCGTGATTTAGGCAGCTGAGATCTGTAATACGAATAATTTAATGAAATGTTTATGCATACATAAATAAAGCAAAGTACTAACCTTAATGGTATGACTTACTAAAATTATTAGAACTTGGAAATATTTAACAAAAATCTCAAGAGATTAAGTCTAAACAGCTTAAGAAAAAGTTTCGTTTTTTATAGGCTACATTATATATTTTCATGTTTTTGTTGTCAGCCACATATTGGTAATATACCATTTGAACAGCTGAGAAATTAAGTAGTCTACAGTTACCAGACTTATCTTTAATCTTATAGCTACAATACATAATATGTAATTATTGTATTATTTTGTATATTTGCTGAGGTCGACTATTGTGTTGTCAATTCATAGAAAAATATATGCCTTAGAAAGACCACAACTGAACCTACTCAGACTTATTTCTGAGTCAACCTTAAAATTTTTTGCAAACAATTTTGTATTAAAAAAAAAGAAGTTAACTAAAATTAATGCAATAGAACGGTACTCTATAAAATGCACTGCAATAGACTTGAATTTTTCGATCTACAAAGGCTTAATTCATTCCTCAGCTTCTTTTTCTCTRTCTTTGTTCTTCTTCTTCTTCTTCTTTTTCTCCTTCTTTTCTGTCACCTCCGCTTCCTCTTCCACCACTACTGTTTCTTCGGGAGCCTCTTTATCGGATTTGTGCTTCTTTTTCTTCTTCTTTTCGGACTTTTCAATATCAGCTGGTACCACGGATGCAGTGTTCTCATCTTGGCTGGTCACACTCAATTTGCGCTAAAATAAAATAAAATATTWAAAATAATTAACACAACTCCAAGATATGTAATTTTGAGGTTTTATTATGTTATAAATGATATAAGATATTTTTATCTTACCTTTTTACCCTCCTCTGTACTGCCGCCATGATTTGGCGTTGTATTTTGTGGCGCTACAGCTGCCGCAGGYTTCTTTGCATTGTAATCAACGAAGCCGGTTAACCACTCCTTGGGTGTATTTTCATTCGGACGTCCATATTTATCCAATTTTCCTGCCGCAATGAGYGCTTTCTTTGCTGAAGCTTTAGGGCCTAGGCCCCATTTGCGCGGATATGTATCTCTCTCCATGATAACACGTTTGATCTTTGCTACGACACCGTGGTCACATGATGCCATTGTTGCTGTTGTCATTTGAGCAATAGCCAAACAAATTGCCTCACCCTTTGTTGTGACGATRACAATTTCTTGATCAATTTCAATACCATCCTCATAGCGTAAGACACCGGGCAACATGATTTTCGCACCGTAACAAACAGCGTTGACCTAAAGAATATATGTTAGAATTAGAAGCTTTTCCAACTGTCAATGGACATACTTGTATGTAACTGTATATATATATATATATAGATGTGCTCCGAATCTTTCTTTGGTGCAACAAATTTGTTTGATATTGCCACATACACACATCGGATGAACATTGTTGTTCCCAATCATAGTCACAGGAAAAAATGGAAAATATTTTCCCTGCCGGCTTATATCATGGGGTAAATGATATTTTTATAAATCATAAATAAGAGAGCCAACTTATAACTAGAGACACAAATGTATTCTGAATAAATCTTTATTTTGAGGCAGGTAAGACGCCTGGAAATATACACACATCGGAAAAAAGTTTATGTTCCCAATCATAGTCACAGAAAAAACTAGGGAGTACTTTTTCTGCCGGCTTATATCATGGGGTACATATTTATATTAAATTGAAAAATAAACAAGACATTTTGCCATTAAAATATTAATAAATTTTAGGTTGGACATGAATTTAAGACTGCTTATAATTTTAAATTGTAGCAATTCGACAAGAAACCACATGGTCTAAAATAGAAATAAGAACTTACCGAGCTATCTTTCATTATAATGCGCTTGTGGTTAACAAGTAAACCTTCCAAAGGCTTGATTACTCGTCGCAACATCGACTCATCTTTGTGATTTTCATACAGGTACATAGCATCCAAGACATCRTGCATCGTAACCATACCATCACGCTCAGACTGTATACCAGAACGTACACGTCTCAGTTCTAACATTTGGCCACCAACTCCTAGCACTAAGCCCAAATGTACGCACATGGTACGAATGTACGAACCCGCCTCACAGCTAACCCAAAAAACACCTTTAGCATATGAAGCAAAATAGAAAGAAAAAGCATACAATATATGAAGAAATGTGCTTCTGCATCATTAAACAAAAGCTTATTTTAATTTAGCATTTATTATTATTAATTGAAAATAACACTACTCATATTGAGATGAGTTGTTAATTCAATATGCCCATGCCTTCTTATTGCTTATAATAATAAAAAGAACTATATACGAAAACTCCACTCACCCATATTACGAGCCTCATCATAGTCCAAGAGTTTACTATCATAAACTGTACGAACACGCAATTGTCTTTTGACAGCTGAAATTAAAGGTGGTCGTTGGAAGAGTGCACCACGCAATTTTTCCAATCCTTGACGAACTTTTGCTACCGACTCAACTGGTGAATGTAGCTTGAATATGGCAACGTATTCTTTACCAGCACTTTGTTGTGACTTAACTAGGCGTGTTGCGCGATCAATACACACAATAAGACAACCTAGTATATGTCAACATTCAATTTAGATTTTTAGTTTTAACGCCATATAATARTATAATCACCCGTCACTTTTGGATCCAACGTTCCAGAATGTCCAGTTTTCTCAACTTTTAGAATTTTCTTTATCCAGGCGACAACTTCGTGTGAACTTGGATTAGATGGTTTATCCAAATTAATGAAACCGGACTTCATATATTCTTGAATATTTCTATTAAGTGGAGAAGAGCCATGAGGTAAAGGTGTATAGTGGTTCGTACGCACATTCAGTTTRTCGAAATTTTTCAACAACAAAGGCCATTGCGAAGCATCTAACTTCACAGATTTTTCAGACGGCTTAAYAGAAAAGTCGCCAGATTTTTGTAGCGCTCCAAGATCATCCACATCAATTGGCTCTTCCTTAATTTTCTTCTTTTTCTTTTCCTTTTTGATTWCTACAATTTTTAAGAAAACCCACGAGGTATTTTTTGTAAATAACCGTACACGAGAAAAACGGAAATATACATAATTTTGAACAATTAAAGTCTCAGTTAAATGAATTTTTCTTTAAAATCAGYCAATAACCAAATAATCTCTTACCAATATCCGCCATTATTTTAAAATTATTCACAAATTTATTGAACAAATATTCGACACGTTTTATAAAGCAACACGTCCGGCGAGTGAAAGGAAGGTTAGAAACAGTCAAAAACACAAGATGTCAAAATGTATACACGTGTTTGACACAGAGTGACTATTTCTCATAAGTATGTCATGATAATATTTGAACGGGAAGAAAATTTTATTTATTTTGTAAAAACAATCAAAAGTTCTTTCGAAATTTACAAAAGTTGTTTTGAAAGGTCCAAGGCTTTTTTTCGAAAATTTAATAATGCATTCAAAGAATTTATCCTTTTCGTAATAAACCCTATATTAATTGTGATATAATAAGCATTCGATATACATATGTAGTATCGGTATACTAAACACCCACATTAGCGGGCTTAATTTACATATATTTGCGTATTTGACCCCATTTTTCGTTAAATTTATATTGATTTTCCAAAAATACCAAAATTTCTATCAATAATTTATCTTATTCATTTTTATTTTACTTGTTTTTAATAAACAAACAAATTTCAGCTGCCTAAATGCACAAGTCTGCCGTGTGTCACCATAAAATTTCAATGCGCATTAGCTTTGCTCGTCCGTCAGGGCTATAAATCACTTTTCATCGAAAATAAATTTTTGTATTTCCAATGTTGAAATTTGGATATACATACATCCTGTCAACCCTGGAAATTGCAACCCTACTACAGTTGCTGAATAGT